CACTCTGCTCGCCAATGTCCTTGTTGTCCACAATTGTAACACACGTTTGGATCATAATTCCCGTAAGTCCGATCTGCCTCTGCCACGATCTCTTCCATAACCTCTTCCTCTTCCACGTTGGCCTTGGGCAAATTGTTGGCACAGCAAGCACGTAAACATTGCTTACTGAGCCTTTTCAAAACCTTTTAGTTTGTCCTCTTTCTTGTGTAACTCATCTTCAGCGTGTTCAGCGTGCTGAAGGATGTCTGCAAGAGCACACGTTTTCCAGGTTACACATGATCTTTTCACCATCCGTTTAAGTCCAGGTCTCATTCTGCTTATAAAATGTTCTTTCAGATGGACTTCATATGGCATTAGGGGCTGTGCCCCCATTGGATCAGGTGGCTTAAGGCGACTGCGGATGTCAAAAGCTGTCGTCAGGCGTGTCAGGAAGGAGCTGCATGTTTCTTGTGGCCCTTGTGTCATAGAGGTGACGGTGGGGAGGTTCAGTCTCAGAGGAAATTGTTATTTTCCAACACAATGAGAGCATCTACAGCACTTCTAATGTCCACATCTGTGCCGTGCTCACAATCAGGATCTTTAAGGCGAGCAGCCATTCTTGTGGTGTTGAACACACTCTGAACTTTTTGATAGTCATGTGTCAGAAGTCTGCACATCAGACGCCGCAGCTCTGACATGCTAGGATGGTATTTTCTGACAAATTGCTGATCAGTCTCCCAATTAGCAAGATTGTCCTTAGGACTGCAGACGTGGCTCATTGCCTTGGTCACATTGGTATCTGACCAGGGTCTGAGAACCAGCATCGGCCCTTGCGCACCCGCCACTTCTACCATTGGAAAAAAAGCTTCAGGATCAGACAATGCCTCCTGTTTTCCTTCTCTGAGCAAGGCCCGCCTTTGTTGAGCCTGCGAGCGGGTCACAGTAGGTGAAAAGGTCGTCTGGCTGGTGTTGGAGGTTGAATCTGGCTTCCCTCCTGGTGGGCTGTTGTCAAGCCACGGAAGGTTTGCCTGTGCTGCTTCCTGCTGAGGAGACTGTGGGCTCATGAAGGCTGGAGGAGCAGTGAGGGGAGGGGGGGGAGTCCAGATCCGTGTCCACCAATCTCCTCAGGAACTCATAAAAACAAGGATAAAGTGTTTTTGGGTTAGAAGGGGTACACGTTTCAGAACTTTTTGTAGGATCTTTGGTCTTTAATGAATTAAATGCTACCAACCTCTGTCTCTCCCTTCTCTCCGACTCATACTTCCACACCTTGAAAGCTTCCCAATCTGCCTTAAATACCACATTCTTTTTCTGCTTTCTTCCCGACAGGCCTGCATGCTGAACTGCATCGTTCTTCTCCTTTTCCCTCAGTTGCAATTCCAACTTTTCCAATTGATTCTCACTCAAACTCCCCTTTGGAGGGAACCCCAATTCAACCCATTTTTGTATTTGATTCAAACTGCCAGGATAACGCTCTGACATAAATTTACACAATAGTGGCAGGATATTAGTCTCATGGTTTTCACCCGTCTCCCCTTTACTCTGAACACTACTCATTTAGTTATCTGTATCTGTACACAAGGAGTGTACGCGCCTATAAAGGTGCATACAAACAAAGAAATACCACATGCATAACTAAGGCAAGTCAGTGACCGTTGCTTTCTCTGGCCACTCAGTCGACTGCATTTATCCAAAGTTGGCCTGTGAATTTTCAGGAGACACAGGATATGCAACTCGAGAAAATACTACAGGTGACCCAGACACGTCTGTCTACAACACACTCGTCGTGAGATAGGCCTAAAACCATTTTGTCATGACTCTGTCTGCCTTAAAATAATTTTGATCTCTCACCGCGTGTTCGTCGTTTCTTTTTCTTGAACTGGATGGATCGGCAATCCGAGGCTCGTCGGGACGGCAGCTTCTCACCCTCAGGGAGGAATCACCTATACTATATGGCCTCCTGTCAGAGTCCAGATCACGCGTCCATCCCATCCTCGTCGCCAAGTTTGTGGTGGAAATTTGTGGATTTAGCCCATGTGAGAAATCAAAAGTATCTTGAGCTTGCTTTGTGATTAAGTATTTATTACTAACTAGAATATAGAAAAAAAGATAAAGAATACAGAAATCATCAGCACAAGTCGTAAGCACAGACAGAAGTCAAATGACTACAATTCAGCTGAAAAGGGACAGATGTTCCTTCCCCCAAAAGGAGCAGGAAGATCTGACCAAGTTGAAGAGGAGAACAGGAGCTTATATACACTTCAGGGAGGTTTGTGGTGCCTCAGCACAGGAGAGCCCACCCCTCAAGAGGAGTGTTGGAAAAGTACCAGATGATGTAGGGGTGACCCCGTGACCCTCCCTTTATGGACCCAGACAATCAACAACATCTAAAAGGTCAGTCAGGGCACGTATGATTTCATCTGTGTCTTATCTCACCCTGGACTGCCTTAAGTCACCGGCTCACATCAAAGGTCACATTCCTGAGAGCCTCACCCCACACAGGCTCAACAATTTCCCCCAAAACCTAGCAGAGTTAGGAGGGCACACTGGCAGTTAACTTAATAGTAGAATCTAGAACACAAACTGGCACTAAAAGACTGAAAGAGCTTGAGCAAACTAGCAACCAAGATAACTTCAAACAAAGAACTGGCCGTGAGACGACAAAAACTAAAGCAAATCAGCAATCAAATTAACTTAAGACACTAGAATCAACAACAAATTTAGCAGACTAGCTTGGTTTAAAGAAAGAGATACTTAGTCCGATTTCAGGTCCCCTGGATGTCTGGTGGCCTTGTAGAAGAGATGCAAGCAAGACAGACGGCTTGCCATGTACACTAGCGCCATCTTGTTTTCTTCTATCAGACAGCATATTGGCACTGTTAGTCAAAAACATTACTCAAAGCACGTAGCAGTGGAACATAACATATAGGCCTACTCAGAAATGATATCAGACATATTCAAATTACATTAAATTGCAGTTGTCCAGTTGTGTTGTCTAGGCATACCCCCTCCACACACACACACACACACACACACACACACACACACACACACACATACACAAACTCACCTGAAGGCTCATGCTGGGGAGAAGTACAGACAAATGGGTCTTCATCTTCAATATCAGATATTTGTGTAGCTGAGGAGATTGACGGCAGCTCATCCTGAAGGACCATTCCATAGTAAATGGTAAATCTGCCTGTTTAGCTGATGAGGTAGATGGCTGGTCCTCATCCTGAGGCTCTGAGACTATACCAGCAGAGTCATGTGTAGCAGGGGAGGTAGGTGGCTCCTCCTGACCAGTAGCAGAGGATGCTCCAAAATATTTTAAAAGTGAAATTGTTGAAATTGTAGTTCATTTGCAATTGAAATTTAAATCAAAAGACCGTAGGATTATGTTTATACAGCTAAAACAGCCTGGGGCCAAATTGACCCCAAACATAATATAGTAGGGTTAAATAAACATGCCCTTACACTAAATGTCTTTCATTACATGCTATATTAATCTAACTTTTAGGGAGGAAACATTAGCTCCTCGGTTACAGCCTTGAATTCTATGCATGGCACACTTTTAGTTCTGACTGTTAAACAATACTTTGTCACAAAAATACAGTTGTAGCAAATAGCAAATGTCCGTCTTTGAAACTACCTACAGATTTGAGAATTCCGTTGGTTAATGACAGGACCTAACATTAAACCAAATGATGGAAATAAATAATAACTGAACTTGTAACAGTTTTGTGTATCAAAGCACATATTATGGTGAAATTACAAACCTTGTGTTTGTTGAGTTAAAACCGAATTATTGTTGTATAAGCATTCAGCAACATAGCAAAAAGGCTAACAGACGAAAGAGTTACCCCACCAATTAATGTATGACACATGTATAATCATACAGAGAGACAACATATTTGCATACCTCCATCTTTTGCTTGCTTCTCCTCCTCTTCTTTTCTTTTCTTTCTGTAGTGGGAACCTGATGATTTTAACCTTTTTCTGTCCATCTGTTTTTATTTGCCTCTGACTCGACAAGCAACAGATTTCCCATCCCCCCAACACTGTCAGTCACGACCAGAAGTCAAGACTAAACCAATTAACCTTGGTGACAGGTGACACATAATCGTTTTGTATTACCAATTTTTATTGGCCATTTCAATTCAATATTCATAAAAACAAAAATGTGCAGGAACTATAGGCTTGCATTTATCATTATTGAAATGTGCGTTATTTGTAAGAAAGTCGGGGTGTGACTGACTTTAGCCCACTAATTACATTAGCGTATTTAACAGTGAATCCCCCGACCCCTGCTCCCCCCCCTTATCCGACCGTTCCATTTGGGTGACCCAGAGGTGAACTGTCCCCCGCGCGCCCCTTCCTTTTCCCCTACTCACACAGATTCTGTGCACAGCACCTCCAACAAGCAGGGCGCCTGCAGCCGCAGGGGGGCACAATCTGCCAATTCCCCACACAGTGAAACGATAGATGATAGAAAACTGCTTCGCGGAGCAGAGGATTTTTTTTCCAGCGCTCGTGCCGCCCCCCATGAGCCTTAAAAAAATGCCGCCCCAGGTGGCTGCCCGGTTCGCCCGTGCCCAGAACCGCCACTGGTTGCTGCACAAACCCAGGCTGTTGTGCAACAGTCTATTTTTGTCACTGACTTGATCACCCAGAGACGACGTCCAAATGAGAAGTTTTTTATTAGATATTTTAGATATGGGATTGTTTTGTTACTCGAAAAAGAAAAAAGGCTCTTTTCCTAAATCAGTCCCATGCTGCGTACCAATACGTAGTCAGACATGTGGAACAAGCTGAGATTGGGAACAGGATCAGAACTTTCCCAAATCAAGACTGACTTTTTAATTCGGAAAAACAAATAAGGATCCACGCGTCAAACTAGAATGAGGTCGTGGTCGTCACGTTCTACGCATGAATGTGAACGCTAATCTCCCTCTGAGTGCGGCGCGATGCCATCGCCAGAGGTTTACTTCAGTAACGCGGTCTCTCCCGTTGATTCTGCACAGGGGTCTGGCTCCTCAGAACAAACCCGAGCTGCAGAAGGTTATGGAGAAGAGAAAGAGGGAGCAAGTTCTCAAGGCTCAGAAGGAGGAGCAGGAGGCTCACAAGAAGAGGAGTGACCTGGAGATAGAGCTCATGAAAAGACAACAGAAACTAGAGCAGGTAAATCATCCAAGTCCATATATTTATAGATATATGAGATACGTCACTTATATGGATGCACTATGAAACTAAGTTACTGCTTGGATTGTTGCAAGCTGAAACAAGATGCAGATTATCACTTCTACAATGTCTCAATCTGAATTTGCCAATGTCTGTGTTCTTGCAGCTGGAGCTGGAGCAACATAAAGATGAGGAGGAACAGGAGAACACCCCTGAGTTTGTGAAGATGAAGAGCAACCTGCGCAGAACCAAGCAGGAAGCTGACGGGGAGGAACGGACCACCTAAAAACCAGCCGGGGTGTCTGGGTCTGGCTGATTGTGCGCGTGTTTGTTATCACAAAGACTTGTGCGTGTTTGTGTGTGTGTTGTCTGTGGTGCACGGCGGTGCCCTGGAGGCGGGTCTCTGACGCACTTCCTGGTTTTCCCCTGACCTAGTTGTTCCTCCCCGCAGTGAGGAGAGACTTTACAGACTAAAGACCTCCTCCGCCCGCCCGCCTGCCGTGGAGCGCCAGTACTCACCTCTGTTTCCCGCAACAGTCCAGCAGCACACAGCACCCCCTGCAGGAGGGATGCTGACAGACATGTTTCGTGCTGAACGCCTTCCAACGAGGGCGAAACAAGCTTCCAATGAGCGCTGGAGAAAAAAAAACAAAAGAACCGACCACACACACACACACACACACACAGAGGAGTTCTCAACCCGTCTTTTCACTCCTCTCACCACAGCAAGCTGCCGTTTCTCTTCACTGTTGTCAATGTTGTTATCATTGTTGTTGTTATTTCTGTTCTCATCTTCAGAATGAAAAGAGGAAAAGTGGACACTGGATAGACTCTTGAAGCTGTGTAATGTAAAAGCCAAATTTAAAAAAAGAAAAAAGGAAAGAACATATATATATATATATATATATATATATATATATATATATATATATATATATATATGTTCTTTCCTTTTTTCTTTTTTTAAATTTGTAACATGCCATTCCTCACGTCATGCAATGTTGAGCAATAGTAGAACTCCCGGGCAATGAGAGTGACCCTTTCTCTAAATATTCTGTTGTTTTTGTATGGATAAAAGTGTTACTTATTATGTAATTTAAGTTCTTGTTTGTGCGGTCTATAAGAGTAATGAGCCCTGTCTGACCAGTCTTCGTGTGCTTTTATGAGCAAAGGACTTGTTGGGAAGCATACACACGGAGGCCACCTGTCACAAAAAGGTATAATCAATCAGCAGTTTGTGGGATCTGTGTGGGTCCTTCAAGTCCTGGACCCTAATCACTGCAGTATTTTGTCTTTATAAACAATGGATCCATAGATGTGCAGGCAGATCATTTAACTAAATGAATCTGACCAAAAGTGGCTGTTAACTGAAAAACAATGTGTGGGTCTCCAAAGGATTATTGTTTTTATTCTGATGGGAAGAAGCAGATTTATGACCCGGTGTTCTTCCCAAGAAGATTCTTTTGAATAAACATAATTTTAACAGATTCACTTTATTTTTTTTTATTTTGTCTGAGGGTTTGTTATCAATCCTAAAAGAAGTTTTTATTTTCGAATTGATAAGCGATCCAAAGATACCAGCCAAGCAGAATGCCAATCAGACGGCTTATTGCTTTGATATTTTTTACTGTAGATGGTGTTGGCTTTGCTCACAGATTGCAACAGTCAAATGTCGAGATTAATAGTATTTGGAATGGAGTTGGTCGTATTGCAAAGTAGGGCACACATTGTGTTCTGTGGCAACTTCAGTGCCCATAACAAGTGGTGGAGTGACAAAACCTAAAGTTAATGGTCAGATAATATAATTTTTGTTAAACGAGAGGAATTTAGTGAGCTTAATACGCAATGTCGATATACATAAAAAGAGTCTGCTTGATCGTACATCTTATATGAAATTACATTACTCCAATATATGAGAAATAAACTAAGACGTAACTGTAGGTAGTTACACCAATCAAGTCTTATGTTAAATAAACATATTTATCCTGTTGGATTGCTTGCTAAAGCTGGAATGTTGCAAAAGAAATAGGGAGAATACTCCTTTATTGAATTAAAACATTGAATTTGATAGTTCTGTTTAATCCAAATAGTAGCTGTAGTATTCTTTGATGGGATAAATATGTATAAAATCTTATGGATGGAGAGGCTTCTGATTCTGAACTGGAGGAATGGTTTTTCATTTAAACCCTTTCAATAAGAACGATTCAAGTAAACGTAATATCTGAAATATCCAATCCTTGTAAGAGAGAAAATGGGACCCTTAAGGCGAGTGACATAAGTCCTATACTATTCTTCAGATCATGTTTCTTAAAATGTAGTGCTGGAAAGATCATGATTTGCAGATGATGGGGCATGTTGGAAAAATTGAGAAATTAGGTAATGAGTAAAAAAAGAGTAAAGAAATAAACTAGAAAATGCATTTCCTGCTAGAAAATGCATTTCCTGCTGAAAATGGAATTGGAATGCAAAAAGCTGAAAGCTGAACCGAATTTTTTAAAATAGCTGAAAATACAGAAAGTTGAAGGGAATTTCAACTGGAATGACAGATATTAGAAAAGCTGAAATTAATTTGAATTTGCTGAAAATACAGATATGGGAGAAGCTGCATGGAATTTCAATAGATTTGCTGAAAAGGGAGAAATGAAAACAGCTGAAATAAATGTGAAATCATGCAAAAAAATACAGAAATGAAAAAAAAAACATTGCTGTTAATAGAGGCATAAGAAAAGCTGAAATTATTTTAAAGAATTGCTGAAAATACAGGAAGTGGGGAAGCTGAATTTCAACAGATTTTCTAAAAAATACAGAAGTTGCAGGAGCTTTAAATGAATTTTTAAAAATACAGAAATAACAAAAGCTGTACTATCAGGTTCACTTTCTTGTCTTTTGTCTTCCAATTGCACTAAAGGATGGACAGTTCTCATGTGCCTGTGCAGGTTGTTTGTGGAGCCAGCTCGATTGGGGTGGGGTGCGGAGATTTTAGTCTTGCAGACTCTACATTCTGCCTTAGGTCAATGTTATTGAAATGTGTCCAGATTTTGCTGGGTTTCCTGTTGACACTCGTTTTCTTAACTTGTTTTTTTTTACATTTCCAGTCCGTTGCTCTCTTTCTCTCTTGTGACTCGCCTCCCTGTTTGTGTGCTTGCTGTGTGCTGTGCTGCTGTGTGTGTAAGTCCCGCCCCTCCCCCCTGTGCTCAGCGCAGGCACAGAGACGCCACCACACATATTGACCGATAAAATGCGGCTTGAGAGAGAGAGAGAGAGAGAGAGAGAGAGAGAGAGAGAGAGAGAGAGAGAGAGAGAGAGAGAGAGAGCGAGAGAGAGAGAAAGAGAAAACAAAAACAAAGCGGCTCCCCAATCAGGAGCCGGCTCCAGGCGTTCACGTCAAAGAGCCGGCTCACTACTAGCTAGCGCCGCGTTTGCTAGCGCCATGTTCTCCCCACGTGAGCCTGCTTGTCTGTCAGACTGCGTAGGGAAGGGAGAGTGACTGCTGGCACGAGCCTGTGTGGTCGTCATGGAGACGGCGCAGCTGCTGTTTTCGCGGGCTGATCACAGAGTAAACGGAGAAGAAACCACACCTCAAACAAATGACATTCAGCGCAAAACTATAACAGCTATCTAAAAAATACGCTGTTTGTGCGAGACCCAAGACTCTACCGAACGCAGGGAGGTGTTATTCAAGTCTGTCCGGTAAAAAATACGGCTCCTGTCGAAGTTTACAAAACGTGTACCTTCTGGATTCTTTGAGAAATATGTCGGCAGATTTGTATTGGAGCCTATGGGGCTTTTGGCAGAGGTTGTGTCACTCTAACACTCCTTAAGCCAAAACTAAAGAACTCTGGGATTCCATGAACACATTAATCCAATCAGCACAACCATACCCTCATTAATCTGAAGAAATGAAGCCTCTAGAGTGTATACTTTGGCTGCAAGGACAGAAGTTCCATACTTTTTAAACCAGATTTCTGCGCTGCTTCACCCTCTAGCCCTCGAGGTCCCCCTCTAGCAGACGCAATACACACTCATGTAAAAGTCAGAAACGGAGCGAAGAACTAGTTTCGAAGAACAATACTTGGAATGCATTCCAACAATTAAGGTGAAATGCAAGGCGGGGACTTTAAGTTTACAGTGAAAATGAGACAATCATTAAGACAATTAGTGAAAGTAATTTGATACTGTTTGCAAACGATATCCTTGGCTTGAATCCCATATATGAAGCTATTGAACCATTTTAAAACATTCTTCAATTTTCTGAAGTGCGTAAACCAAACAAAGTTCTTGTAGGGTTTGCCATCAGGTACATCCAAATACGGCAAAGAGGCCTTTTGAAGAAAAAAAATAGCAAAACATGATTAACACAGAATCCAAATATATGTCAAACCTCCAACCTGTCTTTTTCGACATTGTTGTGTCATGTAGCCTACCGTTAGTTTTAAGCAAATTCGGGTGTGTTGGTAATGGACAAGGGACGAGACCATTTGTTCAGCTTCTTTAAAAGAGTAGTTATGACGATGAGGTAATAAAATGATATCCGGACACTATGCGAGTTAACTTACTCCACGAAGTGCCTGCAAAGCATCACCTGATTAACCTCAAAGAAGAAGAAGAAGAAGAAGAAGAAGAAGAAGAAGAAGAAGAAGAAGAAGATCCCCGGAGTGCAAATCCACGAAGAAGAATTCGGTGCCCTCATCAATACGCGACAAAGATGGCCGCCTGTGGGCTGTTCCGCTCCCTGTCTTCCAACTTTTTCACAGTTTTGCCTGTACTTACCCGCTCGGCAACACTTTCCTCGTTGCGGCTGACATCGCAACCTTACTTCGAAAGGACACTAGCCACATCTTGTCGATTAACAGCAGGTATTACCCCGCGTGTGGGTTTTATTGTATTATGTTAGCTAACGCTTGCGGTTGCTAGAGGGTAACATTAGCTTAAGAAAGGACACGTACGCTCACGACGCGGCTCTACGCCTGTCTCTGTTTATTCTGGTTGTCATACATTACAAAAATACTCGTGCAGTGAGAGGGATCATTGAGGTCTGAGTCTTTTTTTGTTGTTGTTTTTCAGCACTTAAATTCACAGACAAACACGAATGGATCCGAGTAGAAGATGACGGAATTGGGACTGTTGGGATCAGCAAGTTTGCTCAAGTAAGTTTCCTACTGCGTGATCGCGTGCAGAAACGCTCACACGCGTAGGTTATCTGCACTAGCGAAAGTACATACTTTTGCTCCAGTCTTTGACCTTGCTTTCTGAAACTTGCAGGAGGCTCTGGGAGATGTGGTTTACTGTGGACTGCCAGAAGTGGGAACGCAGCTGGTCCAGCAAGGTATGAGGGTGGTGTGGCTCACATGTAAAAAAAAAAAAAAAACTATGGAGGAATACAACCTTGGCATGGAAGATGACATTTAGGCTGGAAACTGTATAATTGCTGAAGTATAACTGAATTTGAAATTCCAATTTATGGGATACAATGCAATGATTCAATATTCTTTACGAAAGGCATCTGACTTTGCATCTGGACATTGTTTTGGATAAAATAAGTATTCCTTGAAACAAGTTTCTGATTAACATGCTAATGATTATCTTGTTTTGCATGTGACAACGGTTTTTACTGACTAGAAATGACAGTAAGATTGCTACCCTTCTTTTGAAATGCTTTTTCTTCTGCCATTATGAAAGATGGACTTGTACATATGTTTTGAGTTATTTTGCCTTGTGGTTTAGAGGAATATGTCTGAAAAACGCATGAACATTTTTTGGTGTCCAGATATTTTGAAAGCAAATATATTGTGAAGATATTCAAATTAAATTATTCTGCATCGTAACGCAGCGCTGCCAAATTTCTTCTCAGATG